GCAGGTAGCGCCCGGAGGAGAGCGGGAGGGGCGAGAAACGCGGCCCGGGCGGCTCTTCCTGCCAGCCCCCCTCGGCCCTGGGCCGAGCTGCCGGAACGAGTGCCTGCCCCGGTTTGCCCCTCGCTGGGCAGGAGATGAGAAAGAGGAAAAAATACGGGTTCGATTAATTTTTCAAGAAAGTACAAGAAATCAGCGTGTCCCAGCACACGTAAACTCGGGGTTTTGTCATGTAACCAGTTTTTAGTTCAAAAAAGAAAAGTAGCATTATATTAAACTTGCTCACCTTTGCCTTTTTTGTCTGTATGTGTCTCTTTGTACAGCAAAAAGTGACAGTGGAAGTCCTGGATCACTTGGAACGTCTGGCCTTGGTTGACTTCCGTGATGCAGAGGGTGTGGAGCGGCTGCAGAAAGCAATCCAGTTTGCTGATCAGCTTCATGAAGTAAACACTGATGGAGTAGAACCGATGGATTCGGTCCTGGAGGACAGGTAATGAATCACAGCAGCCTTCTTCTAACTGTTAATGTACCAAACTAACTGCTTTTGTAACTTCTCCCCTCCCCCTGGGAATTGCCCTGGTTACGCATTTGGCCCCTTCGCTTACAGAAAAGTCTTACTGTGGTTTTGTTTGGAAGGGAGATGTCGTTGGCACCCATGACCTTTATGTGTAAGCATGGCAAAGATGGAACTCCCAGTTCCTTTGTGTATCTTGTCATGAATGATCTCCACATGCTGCTCCCCAAATGTCTGTCAGTGGCATTCTTAGTTGCTTCAAAATATTCCAGTACTTGTCTTGCCGCTTACTTAAGACCAAAATCAGGTTCAGAGATAAGCCACGCTTGATATTTCACATTCATAGAATAGCTTAAAGACAGCCTAGTCATCTGTGTTCTTCAGGTGCCTGTATCTCAGAGAAGATGATGTTACAGAAGGCAACTGCACGAACGAGCTGCTGGAAAATGCCAGAGAGAAAGTGGAGGAATATTTTGTAGCCCCACCAGGTATTGTCTCACTTATAAAAGCCTCTTAATTTTGCTTGAATTAACCTGAGGAATGAAACCTGCCATAACTGCATTTACTTTCAGAAATACTAGCGAGTAATAAGGAAGTACTAAAATAAATAACTGAAGCCATCTGGAAAAAAAAACCAAAACCAAACTGCAGTCTACTGGTCCAAAAGCAGTACAGAAGCTAACCTTGCTCTGAAGTTACTGCTCATGTTGAGCAACTATTTACACAAATCAGACAGGACTTACTTTCCTTACTTGTGCAGGGAATATAAGCTGCCTCTAAGTACATAGGAGAGAAGCACTTTTCTGCTAAGCTGTACTACCCAGAAGGTAACTTACGGCTGCTCTCACACAACTTTCTGTTTGTTTTCTATCAGGTAACATCCCTTTACCAAAGATAGAAGAACGAGAGACTTTTCTGCAGGGCTCTTAGCGAAAGCCCAGAACACAACCACCATTTCAATATTGTATTGGGGAAAACTAAGGTTTGTGCAGTCACAGCTGAGAAACCCTGGCATGCATTTTGATCCAAAGAAGAGCACTTGCAAGGCAATTTACAGGAGGAGGAAGGAGTAAAAAGTTTAGCAGTGCTACTGAAATATGCAGTGTTTATGAAGCTGGAAGGCAGCATGATAGATGACCTTAGCGCTTTTCTTTAGCAAGGTGAATTTGATGTTATTCTTTAAGATACTGAATGGCTTAAAGGCTTTAAAGAGAACATTAAAAGGTGGTGATTAAAAAACCCAGAACACTACAGTTTTCCTCAACAAGTTTGTCAGGAAAACAAGAGAGGTTGGAAGGCTGTATTTGCCTGTTTCTCACCTTTAGCTTGACGCTGGCTCTGACCCTGTCAGAGTTGCGAAGTCTGGTATGGAAGAGTCCGTAACATTGCTGAGTGTCTCTTTGAAAGAACTCAGATTTTCGTTACAGAAGAAAAGGCACTTTGAGAAGATGATTCACTCAGATATTTTGCTTCTATGGAGTATTTCCATTTTATCTCTGTGCTCCATGTCTGTGTGGGTTACCTTCTATTTCCCACTTTGTATTTTTATTCTCACAAATTATATACTAGGAGTTGTACATAATTTTGAGAAAAAAACTTTTCATACACAGAAATAGCTGCTCTAAAATTAAAAATCTTTGCCATGAATATTTTTGTACACCAGACGTGTATCTCTAGCCATACTTCCTGGATTAATCCATTTTTCTGTTTCAAACAAAGCATTGCAGGGTTTGTTTTTTTTTCTTGTTGTTTAAAATATCCTGTGTGGCTAAGCTTATTGTAAATAAAGAATGTAATTACTTGTGAACTTGGCATTTTGTTCTGTTGGCACAGTGAACTAAATACGCAATATAAGGGGGGGGGGGGGGGGGTTGTTGTTGGAACAGGTTTTAGAAATACAAGTAGCCCGGTACCCTTTAGTGTTGCAGACAGACATTGCTAGCAGGAAGCTAGCAACAGCTTTATAGGAAGAAGCAGTAACTTCTTCCTGGATGGTGCCCTGTCCACATATAGATGTAAGAATCCAGAATTATTTATTCCAATTTTCATCGTCTTTTCTAGTGCATAGAGTTGCATTCTGAGCCACAGTGGAATTTTCTTCAGAAATGCTAGGAAAGACCCCTGAAGTTGTTGTAATAGGATGCTACTAATCACCAGTTCTGAGCTGCCTCTTAACAGCTCCTGAGAGCCTGACAGGAGAAGGAAAGGAGGCTCCTCCATGACTGTGCAGGTACATGCTTCCCCTAAGGGCAGAAACTCACCTCACAAGATCATAACTTGATGTCATCAAGCTTACACAGTTCGTGTTCTCAGTATCTTTGCAGAGAAAAGCTATTGCTCCCATTCTGTCTTTCTGTACATCTGCATAACAAACACCAGCTTGGTGCAGGTGTCCCTTCAGGTCCTGCCAGCTGTCTGACAGAGGAAGTCCTGAGCGGGGCCATAAACTGTTTTTCTTATGAACTGCATCTTCCACATCCCTGCGAACAACAGGTAATATAAATTAGAGATTGATGATACACATGCTTTGTTTCTTAACATCTGAAAGTCCACCAGTGTAGGGATTGGCGACCGGAAGATCTCACGATGTACGGAAAGGATAGGGACTGGCCCCCTTGTGATAGAGCTTATGATGTAACTGCAAAGGCGGGAACGAAGTAGTTTGCATATAAAAGCAGTGAAAGAGAGTTAATAAACGCCATTTGTGATATCCTCATATTGGTGTCTGTGTCTCAGTGGCCCGAGGGCGGGGGATGTGAGGCTCTCGTGCCGTCTCACCTCGAACGGGAGTTGTTGCCGCAGGCAGGTAAAGAAAGCCGGCTGCAACACACCAGCAGATTAGAAGTATCATAATTTGAAAAACACTGGAAAAAATACTAAAGAGTTTGCATAGTATTGGCACTAGGTTCAGCCATTAGTGGCTTGCTCTGTGTGTACGAAGCGCTTTGACCAGCTCCCTCTCTGGCCATTCATCGTGTGCCATGTATTTAATGGAAAACTTAGGCTGCAGCTGTCTTTGCTGGTACAAGAAATCGTGGCCATTGGGTAGGATGCACTTTCACTCACTACCTTCAAAGGTTGCGTGTTTGGTCAGCTTCAAACTGAGTGTTTTCCTGGAACTGTTTGGGGTTTTTTTTCATATTACTCTGGCAGGAAGTGAGAGCAAACATGTCCCGCTCTTATTTGTGCAGTTACTTCATTATTTTGAGCTTCCATAATATACACACATACATATATGCATATGCATAAAACGTGTAATTATTACAATATTTGCATTCTTCCAAGGGTGTAGAATTGAAGTCTCTATTTAACCCCATTAATTCAATTCTGTGCAAAGCTGTAACACTGTGTTAGTGCTTTAGTCTCAGGCTTTTCAAGATTCAGACCCTGCAAATGCTGAAGTTTTACAAATATGCAAGCTCAGCCTGAAAGTCATTTATGATGCATGTATAAATCACGACAAGGAAAGACCTCAAGTCACACCATGCAACAAGCACTTTAGCAGAGAATTCCCAGTTTGAGAAATCCCCACTTGTTCCATCCATTTTGGCTACCTCCTTTGGCCATCAGAGAGAATGGGGACAATGTTATTTACACAGAAAATGGAAGAGGAATTTGAGAGTAAACTGCATGGCCACAGGAGCTTCCAACCCGATATCATAACTATTTAAAAGCAACAACCAAACCAACAATTTGGACAAAGATGATCCTGCATTCCCAACGTGGCATAGGCTAAGCTTGAAACTGCCAGTTCACTGCTGCTCCCATACCCACATGCTCTGGTGAGAAAACACTGATGCTTGTTCCCTGCAGCCCAAACTGCATTTGAAGTGGAAAACACACATTTCCTTAATGAAGGGTTTGTTGCAGCTTCGCCACTAATAAGGGAACTACAGCCCTGACTCAAGACACCTGCAACCACCAGAACAGAAACCCTAGCAAAGGCCAGATGAGCTGCCTGTGGGGCAGAATATGTCAGTCCCTCAGCCTGCCCTTGGCGTGTCTAATGGGGTGGATGCTGCACCCCACAGGATGGTGCAGAGCCCTGCTGGGCCCTGGCTGTGCCCCGAGGTGGGGACGAGACACCTTCATGGTGCTGGTTTACCTGCTTTCACTGCAGGGTCTTGATGCGCAAGCAGGTCCAGATCTGGATCAGATCTCTACCACAGATCTTCTGCCACAATGCAATTTATAAACCAAGTCAAGTGAATAGATATAGTTAAGGACTTGTGTAACAAAATCACTACCTGTAAATTCCTTGTAACTGCAGTATGGCAAAAATAATGTATATTTGTGAAATAACTCATCTTTTCTCAGTGGCTAATAGATACAGCAAAAAGAAAAAAAAAATCTGTTTGGTAAAAAAAAAACCAACAAAAGGAGGGCAGATTCTGAGATGATGTAAATGTATCTAGTTTCCCTGGAGACCATGGAGATAACTTGAGTTACACCTGCTAAGGTTTTTCCACTACTGTGTAGATCTGTAACATAAAATATACCTGTATAAATATACCTGTATAAGAATATATCTGCATTATAATATAACATATCTGTAACATAAATACATGCTTTAGCATACAGATTCCAGGTTTAAAAAGAAAATTTCAAGGTGAAGATTTCTTCGGTTCTATGGAAAAAAGAAAAATGGAAGTTGTTTTATTGCTAATAATGATTATTTTATGTTTTGATAGTAACTAGGAGCCCCAAGAAAAATCTCAGTTGGATACAGTGATACAATATTCTACACAGAGCAGAAAAAAAAAAGCCTCAGCTGAAAAGTGCTTACAAACTAACCTCCATCTGCAAGAGGAATTTCATGATATGCCTTATCCATTACCCAATTTTCTTCGGCACCTCCTCTACTCCAGCTATCATCTCCTTTGTGTATTTGTTCTGCCTTCCCCTGCAGCTCTGTCCTGAGGGAAATTATACTTTTATATTCTAGATTAACAAGTAAGGCCCTAATGCTTCTCTCTAAAGCCGTGTATCTCAGGCTTTAATGTTTCTCATTAACAACGTGTATCTCACCCACGCTGACATTTCCTGCAGTCGTCATCACATCTGTTCCTTCAGCTAACTATTTCTTAATAAATGCACAGAAATCTGCCTGCAGCTACCAAGCACAACCACCTCCTCAGAGATTCATGGGTGTTTCTGAAGTTCATTGTAAGCACTGGGAAGATCATAAAATGGTTCAGTTCTGTCAGCACAAAACTGAAAGAACGATTGCTAGTGCTGCAGATACTACACACAGTTCTGTAAATTATTGCTTGCCATGGCCCCAAGATTATTCAAAGCTTCTTCACATTGCTAGCACACAAAGTCTCTTATGTGCTTTCATCTGCTGCATTAAACCAGGTAAGTTCCCTTAATTTCATAACTTTCAGAATTGTCCCTAAACACACACTCCTGATGGCAAGACAGAAAGCAAAGCTGCGAATTACATCTCTTCTAACTGGAATGCTAAAACCTGGGAGTTACAGCCAGAAGTTATTCCTGAGGTACTCTAGAGTTCTAGACAAAAGTACTACATCATCCAGGTTTAATGTTTCGGGGACAGTATATTCTTCTGAGGTTGCCTCAGAGCTTGCAAAAGCAAAAGGTTGCTTGCAGTTATGCTGCTTTTGCCAAGAGTGACACTGAGCAGGTAACTATACTGTAATAACATGAAAAATACTTGCATTTCAAGTGAGGTGGATGACTGCTCTTGATTTTTTTATTTCTACAAGGAAATGGCAGTCCCACCAACCAGTATTTGAAACCTCTTTAAGTCATACTCTGCTGTTTGCTACAGACATGGTTCAGAGCCCTGTTATTAAAAGATCACCAGCTATGGAAGACCCAACAGCAATTTTCTAGCTGCTGACAAGAGTATAAGCAGAAAGTGCCCCAGGGAGAGTGAAACTAACAAAAGAGAGCACTGGGGATCTCCCAAAACATCTTGCTTCATTTAAAACAAAAAAAAAACAAAAAAGAAAAAAAAAGGCAAGAGTTGCAGAAATGGTGAGGTCTGCAAAAGATGCCTTAAGAGATGTAAGAAGTCCGATGGATGCAGTTCACTGAAGGATAAAAGTTTAGATCTGACTTGATCATACTTGGTAAATATGGGTACAAGATTTCTATCACTTAGTTTGAAAGACAAATAGAAACCAGGCCCATGAATAGGAAAGACGATCCAGTGCCATTTATAAGCTAGGGAACTGCTTCCTCCAACACGGGCAGGCTGTCCTCTCAGTAAAGGGCATCTTACTGAAGGGGCTATCCCAGCTCAAAGAGAAAGAAGAGCCTGTTGCAGAGATTACGGGGTTAAATTTGGTGTCTGTGATCTGGGCTGGGGTGAGTAATAAAATGGCCTTTCGGGCTCACATTTTAACTGTGGAAAAGTGTTTTACAGAAACTGGAGGACACATTAAAAAGCACTGGAGGCTGAGCGTACTTTAAGGGACGAGATTTTGCCCAGGATCACTAGACGATGCGGAGACGAGCCGCACGGGAGCCAGGAACGGAGGCTTTCCACACGCAGCTGAACTCTGCATTAATATCCCCAACAGCACACGCTCCGCAGGACGTGCGGGCCGTGCCCTCCGGGACCGCCCCGCCCCC